GCAGGGAAATGGATGGAACTAGAACAAATCATGATGAGTGAGGTAAGCCCAGCTCAGAGAGACAAAGGCACATGGTCTCCCTGATACGTGGATGTTAAATTCAAAACGAGACAAGAAATGGCAAAGTAAACATACTCAAGCAACAAAGGAGCTCTTCTTATTTTGTGGCATTGTTTTTAGGTGACTCCATGTTCTTGGCCCCACATATGGCATACACATGTGCACACCTGAGGGAAGCCAGGAGGAGGCACAGACTCAGAGGGAAACAGGGATAACATAGAGCAGAGGCCATCAGCTGCGCTGGACATGGATGAAAGTGAACTAAGCAACTCAAGGGCAGCGAAGGGAGGGGGGAATGAGAAAGAGGGAATGGCTCATACTAAGCAAAGGAAAGAAATATACATGTCTCCTGATTTGGGAGAAATAGTTGTATCGTCAAAATGTGTAGAGTTCACAAGTGTTATGGACCATGATAATGACAAGGTGCCTTGTGAAGGTTAAACTGTGGATTGGTGCCAGTGGTTCACGCCTGTAATGCTAGCTACTCAGGAGGCTGAGATCTGAGGATCATGGTTCAAAGCCAGCCTGGGAAGAAGTCTGTGAGACTCTTATCTCCAATAAACCATGAGAAAACCATAAGTGGCACTGTGGCTCAAGTGGTAGAGCAGAAGCCTTGAGCTGAAGAGCTAGGGATAGTGCCAGGCTCAGAGTTCAAGCCCCATGACCGACAAAACAAAACAAAACAAAGGTTAAAATGTGTTTGTTACTTTACCAAAGTATCACTATTCCACAATATTGTGAAATTTATATAATCACTTAATCTCAACAAAAAATTTTTTTTGAAAAAAGAAGGGCAAGGAAAGAGAAATGGAAAATGAGAGATCCATAATTCGTGGTTCCCACGTAGGAAAGGGTGGTCAAGAATCAAGACGGCAGTGGCCTTTATTCTTCCTGGTGGGTTGCACGTGGTTGTGGAGCTCCTCAACTCCTGAGCATTACACCATGGTTCAGTCTGGCCAAGACGAGTGCTGCTCGTGTTCTAAAATATGGAGACGTTTGGAGCCTATTGAAGCCTAGGGGAATTGGTTGAGCTTTAGGCAGGGCCTCTTTTTCCCAGATTTGCCTCCCACTGTCCACATCTACCCACTGAGGGAGCTGGCAGGGTTTTGCACCTTCATAGGAAGGGCAGATTCAGATAGCATGTCCCAGGTCTCCACTCTTGAACTCAGCACCTAACAGAAGGTATAGTGGTGGGGAAGTTAAACTGCTTTTTCCTTCTCTGGTGTTAATGTCCGACTCTGCTCATGACAGTTATTTGAAACAACATTATCGTTGGGCTCCTTATGTCTCCATCTCACCTCACTTCTGCAGGAGTCTCCTCCTTTCACGGGGATGACAGGCTCACGCCATTGCACCCAGTCTCCTAGCTGGGATAATAGGCCAGTGGCACAGCACCCACCACTGATTGAAAAAGGGGATTTCCTCCATTCCTTTCAGCTGATTATTTTGAAATTTTCAGTGAATCCAAACCAGAAAAAGACATATTTAATCTCTGCCTACCTGACCACTAGAACAAATATGTTAACAGAAATTCAGGGCAGCTAAGGGGACCTCAGTACTTATGCTGGGCCAGAGAAGACAGGCACGGTGTGCACATGGTGAAGGTGAGGGGAAGAATTATTAGTAGAGAAAAGAGAAAGAGAGAAAGAGAGCCTGTGTCATGGACATGCCACAGGAAGACAGAGCATAAGCCCATCCAACCACCTTCCTTCTCACACAGCCTGGCCTTGGCTTAAATCCAGAGAATTGGAGCCGTTGAGACAGACACATGGTTATGACTCTCCTTTCTGGTTGCTGTAAGGTCATGGAGCCAAAGATGAAGAGCCCCATCTTTATTTCTTCATTGGTTGTTTTCTTATCCCTCATTCTTTTGTGCCTCCATTTCATTGTCAGGCAAGTTTTATCCATTCAGCCTACCATCTGCAAGTCCTGTAGCCTGCTTTTCCATGCTGCTTCCAGGTAGAACTTGTATCACCAGCTGGGACTGGAACCTGGGAATGTTGGACAAACACAGGAAGGCAGCAAACCAAGGAGGATTCTGCTGCTTTCTGACTTATTCTGCCTTTTCTTCCCCAGTTAAACCTATGGTGACCGTGTACCCCACAAAGACTGAACCCCTGCAGCACCACAACCTCCTGGTGTGCAATGTGCATGGATTCTACCCAGGCAACATTGAAGTCAGATGGTTCCGCAATGGCCACGAGGAGAAGGCTGGGGTGGTGTCTACAGGCCCGGTCTTCAATGGAGACTGGACCTTCCAGATCATGGTGATGCTGGAGATGACCCCCCAACAGGGGGACGTCTACACCTGCCACGTGGAGCACCCCAGCCTGGACGGTCCTGTCACCGTGGAGTGGAGTGAGTGAGCATGTTGGTGACTGTATAAAGTCCTCAGGCCAGATGCAGACCTGGCTGCCTGCGGAGGGCAGGGCTCCTCTCCCTACAGCACAGCTTCAGCATTCTCTCCCCACACTGGATTCTCACCCATTCCATGCTCTCCCCCTCAGCATATGTCACTGGAGGCAGGGAGGCTGAGATGTTTCTAGAAACACCCATGAGCCATGGGGATATGAGTGTGTCAATCAAGTCACTGTTCTGAAAGCCCTGTGACACCACAGGTCCTAGTTACCTCCTCAGTCCTGACCCAGCCTCAGCCTAGGGCTGAGCTTATGTGTGGGTGCTACTGTCTGGGTTGTTCACTGTGATCTGAGAAGAGTAGCAATGCAGGGTCCTTCCTGACATGAGGTTCGTCCAGTCTCAGCTCTGTCTGCCATTAGCTCTGTCATCCTTTACCAGCTCCGTAACATGACTGAGTTCCACACTTTTCTGAGACCTGGTTGCACTTCAGCCTTGTGACAATTACATGAAGCCAGTGTATGAACCTTTCAGTCACTAAGGTTGATGAGCATGTGTGTGTGATCATGCCAGTACCAGGCGCTTGAACTTAGGGCCTTGGTGCTTTCCCTTATCTTCTTTTCTGAAGGCTAGCACTCCACTCCTTCAAACTCACTATACCATTGAACCACAGCTCCACTTCTGGCTTTTGGGTGCTCAATAGCAGATAAAGCTTCACAGACATTCTTCTGCCCAGGTTAACTTCTAACCACCATCCTCAGATCTCAGCCTCCTGAGTGTCTAGGATTATGGGCATGAGCTACTGGCACCTGGCTCAGGGTGACTTTTAATTCTCCTGTTTCCAGGAATGGCTAAATCTCATTCATCTGGGGCAGGCTTCTATCTGCTCAGGAGTCTGAGTCTCATTGTCTCACGAGAGAATGTCTGATTTTGTACACACGTAACTAATCCTGGCGTCTCCTTTCAGAGCCCCAATCTGGATCTGCGCAGGGCAAGATGATGAGTGGCGTTGGGGGCTTTGTGCTGGGGCTGCTCTTCCTGGGTGCAGGGCTGTTCATCTACCACAGGAACTCAAAAGGTAAGGAACCTTCTGTCAGAAAGGAGAGGTGAGCCACCAGTATGGGCTCAAGGATTTCCTGGGTGACAGACCTGCTGGGCCCTCCAAGCAGGAATGGAGGGAGCAGCAGTGCCCAGGTTGGGTGGAATTTAAACTAAACTTAGAGGACATTCACATGGGTCACATTACATGGACCATGGGAATTCAGGGGGCAGAATCAGTAGCAAGAAGAAGGTGTTGAGAAGGTGTTACATGAGCTACAGGAATTGGGGGGAGAGTCATATTCCAAGAAGGAGGAGTAATGAGATTGTTGCAACTGGGGTAGGAGTTTGTATGTCATGGGGGAAGCAAACAGCACTGGGGAAATACAAACTTAACAGATTTTTGTAAACAGGTAGGGATACAGGTGGGGACTTAATGGCAAGCTGACCCTGGGTCCTTAGACCTTCTAGTGGCTGAGAATCACACTCCACAGATTTTTTTTAAGAAAAAAAAAGTTGTATCACTGAGATTAGTTCTGAGGACAGCAAAGGACCTGTGGGAAGTTTCCTGTTCTCACATGACCTGAAATGATAAAGAAATTCTGCAACTCTCACCAGAGAACGCATGAGGGTGTCCCTAAGCTTCCTTGAAAGCATGCCATGGTGTCTCCTGAAAAGGAGAGAGACTCATGAGCTGAAAGTGTTTATCACGGATTAATTTTAGTAGAACAAGGTTAAAATAGAGAGTCAGAAAGCTAGGAAAACATTTCCAGCTCCTCATATGCAGGAAGTGGGACTTAAAGGTTCAAAATGGCAGCAGTTCCCTGCTGTCTTCCTTATTGGGAGCTGAGAGAATAGGTGTGGTCATGTCATCTGGCAGCCTCCACGCAAGCAGAGGTTCTCAGTGGCTCATATGTATGTTGCTTATTATTCTAACATAGAGAGATGCCCCTGGTCTTACCTGAAACAGGGGAACAATCCTAGGTGAGCTTTAGGACTTGCTCTGCTCCAGACAAGCCTCTCATCTTGTTTATGTGCATTTGCAGAACTATTTCCTCGCTACTTTTTTATAAAACCATTTAAACAGAGAAGGCTTTGGCAGCCCCTTTCAGGTCTCCTAGCTTTAACATTTGAGTGGATGGAAGTTTCACTGCTTTTTGAGGTGCTTCCTGGTTAGAACTTCTGAGTCTGGCCCTTTTTCTATTTATTAAAAAGAAGAAACTTTCCCTGTCTCTTCTATGCCAGTCCCCCATCTCTTCTGCCTCAGTGGTGTTAGAGAAGTCTCAGGGGGCAGATTGAGTCCTGGAGGCTGTGTTTGCAGGTGGAATGGCTTCTGGAGAGTTCAGTGTCTGTCCTTTTGTCTCCATTGCAGGGCACTCTGGACTTCAACCAGCAGGTAACATTCTCTAATCCTACAACAAATGACACAAGGCAGAAATACTGGCATAAATCTGGAATCAAAGTTTTGATGAAGCAGAAGTGTGAACTAAATCTTGTTCTCTTTAATATTTGTTTCCTTTGTGCTCTTGTGCTTCTGACATTGCTCCTGAGGGCCTGTTCCATGCTCTACATGTGCATGTTACACAAGTGCTGTACACTGAACTGCAACCCATCTCCACTCTGAGTTTAATATAAACTGTGCTAGAGCCAGCGATGGTAGCTCATGCCTATAATCCCAGCTACTCAGGAGGCTGAGAACTGAGGATCCTGATTCAAACCTGGTCAGAGCAGGAAAGCCCATGTGATTCTTAAGTCCAATTAACTAGCAAGATGCCAGACGTGGAGCTGTGGCACAAGCCTTAGAATTGCCGAGTTGAGCAGAAAAAGCCAAGGGACAGTGCCCTGTGTTCAAGATTCACAAGTGGCGCAAGCAAACCAACAGTGAAAGAAAAAACCCAACTACGCTGTAAAATACCATTGGCTGAGTGTCGGTAGAAAGTCTTCCCTCCTCCTTCCCACATGCTATAATGAGAAGCACTTATGGTGGGAAAGAAGCCATTTTCTGAGTTAGGTCTGCACACTTACTGTCCTCTGCCTCCTGCAGGACTCCTGAGCTGAAGTGAAGGTGGACAGCTGGGAAGGCAGGACCTCTGCTCCTACCTCTCCTCATGACATCACTCCAGCTTGGCTCCAATTCTTCAGAGAGAAGTAATGCTATCTCCGGACTTGGCTTCATCCCTGCTCAGTGCCCAATAAATCCTGTCCTCCCTGATGGCTCCCCCAGTCCCTGTCCCTGAGCTGGAAGCCCAGTGCAGACTGCAAGATCTGCTCTGCACTCTCTCTTGGCCCTTTTGCATTCAAACCTTCTGCCACCCTCCCTACCCCCATTCAATCCAATCAGGCCTGTGTCACAATACTTCATTTTATGTTTCCCTCAAATAAACATGGAGCTAAAAAAAATTTTCCCACTGGTTTTTCCTACAGTTTCTTGTTTGTCCCAAAAGAAAAAAAAATGTGGTGTTACTTTTATTTTCTGATATTATGAGAAGAAAGAAATTCAGACATATCAAAGTTATTCTGAACCAGAAACAGATTCTGATTTGATATGTTTTTAATTTCTACTTTATTACAATATCTATCCAATCATTTTTACTACTTCTTAAACCATGGATCTCTATATGATAATCACTTTTGTGCAGTTCAATTCAGAAGCAAAAAAAAAGTATAGTTTTTTTGTATGGCAGATCCTGTCCTTTATTTTAACATGAGTGATCTACATGATACAAATAACACATTTGTTATTCTAAATTTTTAAAAAAAATTTTTTTTGGTCTGGTCATGGTGCTTGAACTCTGGGCCTGGGCGCTGTCCCTCAGCTCTTCAGCTCAAGGCTAGCGCTCTACCACTTGAGCCACAGTGCCACTTCCGGCTTTTTTTTTCTGTTTGCTTATGTGGTGCTGAGGAATGGAACCCATGGCCTCATGCATACAAGGCAAGCATTCTACCACTGAGCCACCTTCCCAGCCCCTTGTTATTCTAAATTTTGATTTCTACTTTGTATAGTTAATGGTCATTAGTGGTATATCTTCCATTAAATTAAAAAAGTAAAAAATATATGCAGAGTTATTTTAAGGGTTAAGTTTGTGCTTCTGTTTTTAGCTGGTGTCTTTTCTGTTCAGTGTAATGGTGGCACTCAGGTAGACACGGTGGAATCAAGCACATACCAGCTAATTCCTTATGATAGATCAGGCAAAATGGGATAAGGAAGGGATATATCTATCTTCAATGGAATGAGAGAATGAAAACTGAAAGCAGGATAAAGGGATTGAAACCTTCTTACAATAAATTTAAGGGGGAGATGTGTCTCAGGCTGATTCTGAGTACCCTATATGGTTGCTGAGTCCCTGTGCAGTTTGTATGGAGGGTGGTCTTTCCTTGTTGCTAAGGTAAGTGCACAGATTCTCTTCAGACCTTCATGCCATGTGGATGGCCTCCCATCAGCCCAGTGTCTATCGATATGTATTCAGGGGCCACTGACAGCAGTGAAAGCAGCAGATAAACCTGGAAGCCTCTTAGTCTGTTAAATGGTACCTCTGGACTTCCTTTGGTTTATCAGCATTATCCCTAAATATTAAGAAGAGGAAAGTGAGTGAATGCCCTCATAATCTCCAGTGTACATATGAAAAAATAGGTTCATATAAATTGAGGGAGTAGATAGGATTGGGAGAGATGGGGTAAAACAATGAAAGGGGAGACATAGGTCAAGATGCATTATACAGACTAAGTGACATGTTGCATAGAATCTCCCGTAAAAAAATAAGAAATAACTCTTTTGTACAACTATTTAAAGATAATAATTCAAAAAGTAAAGATAAAAATAAGCATGAATAAAATGCATTAATAATAATAAACTATATAAATAAAATAAAATTCTACTCTGAGAAGTTAACTGATAACTCCCTTCTACAAAACCAAGTCAAGGTAAGATTAAACGTCCTGATTGGAGTCATTTTCTCTCCATTTCTTTCCTTCCTCAACACCTCCACACACAGAGTTCTCCAAATAGTTCTTTCCTCAAGTTACATGCGAATGGAACATATGAATGCCTCACATTGGTGAGCACAGAGATGAATCTCCATACTGGTTCAAGCCAAGAGTTCTACTTGTAACTAGATCAGACTTCAGAGATAAAAAATTGAAACAATCCTTTTCAATAATGGAAGTTCTGAGTTTCAGAAGACCTTCATAGAGAAACTCTGCCCAGCAACTGATGATGGCATCCACTGCTCACATGCAGATTTGTTTTTTCCACATTGAGATCACTCAATCCAGCACGAAACCAATGAATACCTTGAGTCTGATTATTTCTGGTGTGGATGGAGAAGGTTCATAGCACTCCCTGGATGAAAATCATCTGCTCGTCGTCTCCCATTTTCCAGCGCGATGTGCCTGTGTCTTGCCTCCCTGCTGGAGCACGCATGTTAGCTGGAACAGCACTGACGGTGTGGAGTCCTCCCCCGGTGTGGCCAGGAACGCTCAACCTCACTGCACACATGAGCTCAACCAGGTGGCATTGTGGGAGGAAGGTGGTAACGGGCCACTGTTTCCAGGCAGCATCCTTTAAAACGTGGGATGCTTTTTGTCAGGTGGCTACCTATGGTTATCCTATGTCTCCCAAATAATCTCCATACAGCAACTTCCCAAACCAAAGAGAACCTCCACGTTTTCCCTTTCTGTGAGCTCTGCATATGATGTCTCCATGGAGACTATGTGTTTCCACGTCTCCTCCGGTGACACCTGTCCAATGTTACATGACATTCCTTTCCCTGAAGGCCTGACAGGACTTAGAAGCAGTGATGTTCAAATATTTCCCCATATTGCCCTACCCTGGTTCATGCCGTGCTTTCAATGGGAGTTAGAAAGGTCTGTCTCTCCTACAGATTCTGTGTTCCATGCTCCACAGAATCTGTGATGATGCTGTCTCTGTCACATGTGAGATCATGCCAAGAGAAGTCTTCCAGCATCTTCTCTTTCCTCTGTAGCTCCAATGTGTATGAAGTCTGTGTCCCTGTGGGGCAGGAGCTCTGATGGAGGGCAGGGATAGAGCTCCTGCTTGTTCAGCTGGAAAGCATCCTGCAGCTGAGGTAGAAACCCTTAATACTTAGAATGGGTCTATAGTAATGGAGAATCAATGATCTGTTCCTGGGTGCCTTGAAATAGTTAAGACATATTAAGAAAACTTAGGACAGTACACTGCACATTTCAAATCCATTATGATATTTTTTTTGGTCAGTCATGGGACTAGAACACTGGGCCTGGGCACTGTCCCTGAGTTCTTCAGCTCACGGTAAGTGCTCTACAACTTGAGCCACAGGGTCACTTCTGGTTTTCTGAGTGGTGTATTGGAGATAAGAGTCTCACAGATTTTTCCTGCCTGGGCTGGCTTTGCACCACGATCCTCAGATCTCAGCTTCCTGAGTAGCTAGGATAACAGGTGTGAGCCACTGGTGCCTGGCTTCATTTTGATTGTCATACTGTGATTTTTCTTCTGCATAATCTCTGTGGAAGCCACAAGAAAGAATTCAAGTTGTAGAAGATGTATTTTATGCAACTCCATTTTGGTAATCCAAAATAGTAACACATTAGCACTTTCAGAGAGAAGGTCCGGAGAGGCATGGAGTCTGTTAATGTTTCTTTAGGTCTTATTTAAAAAACATTTTAGATTGTTATTAGAAAGATGATGTATAGAAGGGTTACAGTTACATCAGTTAGGTAAAGATTACATTTCTCTTGGACAATGTCACCTTTCCCTCTCTCTCTCCGTTTTACCGTCCCATCCCCACTCACAAATTGTAAAGTTCATTTTCAACATAGAGTCCAGTGGCTACCATTGCTGCATTTGTTTACCCTTTGTCCCTCCACCTCTTTGTCTCCATACAATACAAAAGCAGAGAAATGAACAAACGTGGTCAAAGGGAAAAAAACCAAAAACAGCAAAAAGAATAAACCTCTTGTTTCCATCCCCTGGAGTTCATTTCAATAAATATTATTTTGTATGATCAGATGTACATAGACATTGTGTATTTGTGTTCCTCTCCTAAGAGCAACCTCCTTTGGTCTCCTTGTGAGATACATAGAATTTGTTATGATCTGGTGTATTTTAGAACTAGCTTCTGCATATGATGTGCTGTTTGTTTCTCTGAGCTTGCTTACCCCACCTAACATGTTCTAGTGCCATCCCTTTCCCTACAGATCACATACTACTATTCTTTCTAATGTCTATGTAAAATCCATTGTGTATAAGTACTGTTAGGAAACAGAGTCCTGAGGATATGAGCATAATGAAAGAACAGAAAGTGAACTTTACAGACCAGATCAACTTTCATAGAGAGTTGTAGAGGGACAATATGGTAACCTGAGGAGAGGCAGGAGACAGGAGGCATAATGGGAAAGGGGTGGAGAGACATGGGTGGGGAGGGTCACAGATAGCTGGAGGGTTCAAAGAGTTTCATGAGTATATAATGCAAGTCTGGCTTTGGGAATCTATTTTTTGAGCAAGTCCCCATCTCTCAGGTGCCTACCACCTGAAAGGGTGAGGGAGTGATATTTCATAGTTACATTAAGATTCTGGGCTGGAGACTGGGCTGGAGAATTGTGGGAAGGTCCCCTGGGGTGGGAGGGTGGGAGGTGAGTCAGTGGGCCAACCAGGGGAGCAATATTGATCCTGAGAGCAATGCAGATTCCCATCAGGTACCACATTGTTTCCTTCCATTCCT